ACGTGCTTGTATCCAGTGAGTTTATGGAATTAATTCCACTGCCTGAAATAAAGTTATTATGTGGAGATGCCGGTGTTGGACTTGGGTGGACAAAGTCAGAAATCACACGACACCACGTTATGGTCCAACAGGATTATTTGAAAACAAAAGCTATCGGAGCCTCTCTTGGTGGAGTATAGCTACTGTTATCAGTGTGGCAGACATGGATATCTTTTTTTCTGATATTTATTTATGCAACCTTTGAGCCATGGGATATATTTTGTGGTCCTTAGTCCCACACAGTTATCCTTTCTGTCAATTGTGTGTTCAAATCTCTTCAATTAACTTGTCCTTGTGCCACCAACGTTTACTCTGAAATTCACTGCTCTGGCTTGCTGCTTCAACATCTTTTAATAGTGTCTTCAAAACTTGTGTTTTTGGCTTTGCTTTTGGTTATTACTTTTGACCGTATGGCTGCTACTTACTGCCTACTTCTGTATGAAACACCTGTATGGGGAAAAAAAATTAAAATCCATGTTGGTTTTTACTTTAAGAACCACAAATTAACTTTGATACCAGTGTTGAATTAATGTGACGTGGTAGGATTTAACAGGGTGCTGTGGTGTTTAAAAAAATTGGGTGAGAGCCTTACCCCAGCTGTACACCTGCTACCTCACAGACATTAAATAGCCAGTTACCACTTAGTGACTTAAGATGGGACCTCTGGTCCTTAGCAGCAGAAATATGTGCCCAGAGATCTATGGGCTTTGCTCCTGTCCTTGCTGTAACGACTCCACAGAGAGAAAGCTACTAGGTGGGTACTTGGTAGGGCCCTCATGCACTGGGGTGATTAATTGGGCATTAATTTGCTTTTGGACTTCAGTTGGCTTGCCTGACACACTTGCCCCGCCTGACGCACCTTCCCCACCCCGCCCACCCTAATGCATACATGTGCACTCACTCACACACAATCCCATCACTGGTAAAGTTGCAATGGCGAGGCAGTACCTGCTTGGTTTTGCATATACCATCAGCACCTTTAAACCTGTGGGTAGCAGAGCAATAAAGCCAGTCCATAGAACTCATGACAGAGGCACAATGTAAGAATTGTATTAACCTAAAACTAAAATTATTTTTGAAAAAATGTGCGGTCTTTTTAAAAAAATTTTTTGAAGTTTTAATACCTTTGTTTGAGTGTTTCAAATTGCTGCAGCACTATTTTTCTTACTGTTAAGCCTAATTTTATTATTTCCAAAATGATCTGATTTTAATTTACTTTTAAATGCTGTCTTTATTATAGCTGTTCTAACTTTGATTCACTTCCACTTCTTCTACACTGTAATCTACTCAACTCATTTTTGATTTCCTGTTCCTGAGCGAGTGTGTTTGAATTTCTGTCTTATGCCATTAAATGTTTCCTTTTTCCAGTCTGGCAGTCTTTGACTCTTCAACTTTCAGCACTTCCACATCTTACACACAACTGTAATATACTACCTTGGTGCTTTCCTCTTTTAAATTTAATCTGTATTCTGCCCCAATTGTTGTGCCATTTTATACAAGTTAGTGTTTTTTATATTTCTTCTGTTTGGTCAAGTGTTTATGAAAATTTCTCTTAATAAAAGGCAGTAGAAATAGATTGAGCAAATAAGTGTTTGCCAAGTGATTGTTAGTAGTGAGAATGAACATTGATTTGTTTTTAGCAAATATTGCAATTTTCCTGTAGTACGTTATAGTATGACTGCACACAGATTTTATAGTGAATGTGTGAAGCTTGATACGTATCAGGGCTTCCATCACTTCTTGAAAAGGTACACTGTAAATAGTTTCTTCAGTCTTGACTTGACGTATACAAAGCAACAACTTGACTGATGGTCAAATCATCATTAGTGGGGCGCAGGCTGGTGTTGTATATCGAGACTATGTGGATTTCCTGACGCAGTTGATCCCTTCAACAATCTCTGAAATCAAAAGTTCCAATGGGCAATTTCCCCAGCACTGGCATGATGGTTAGCACTGCTGTCTCAGCACAAGGGAGCCTGTCGATGTGGAGTTTGTACATTCTCCACGTGTCTGCGTGGAATTCCTTCCATAGTCCAGAGGTGTGCAGGTTAGATGGATTGGCTGTGCTCAATTGTCCACAGTATCTTGGGATTATGTAGGTTAGGTGCATTAGCCATGGGGAGTGCAGGGTTATAGGATCGGGGGGTGGGTCTGGTTGGGATTGCCCTTCTGAAGGTCGGTGTGGACTTGACGGCCTGTTTGGCCTGCTTCTACATTTTAGGGATTCTATGTTTGATATGCAACCCTCCAAAAAAGCCCCTTACAGTTGGAGACTTTGGACAGTTCATATTCACCGAAGGTTAATAATTATCCAGGAAACATTGGAGGATTATAAACCTAATGTAACTCCTGGGCAAGAAGTGAACCACCCCTTCCTCTTCAAATCTGGCAGGACCTGCCTGACTCTGGCATCCAATAATCTGACATCAGACCCTTCACTTACCTTACACACTAATCATTCCATTCTTTGGGGACCTTTAACTCGTGAAATATGACAACAAGTTTTGTATTTTTTAAAAAAGGGAATGTGTTTTTGGCCTGTAATGTTACTGATGCATTGAGTATACTTTTCCTTGGTTATCTTACTAGCCCATTCATGATAGACCAGAAATGGATTCTTGCCTGTAAAAATCACAGGCAGGTATGTGGGTAATTTATAAGAAGACTGCCATTGATCAATGGTAATCAAAACATCTGGCCTGTTATTGGTATGGCATGCTTAAGTTTTAGATGCTTAAGATGGTTAAAGGATTTGATTGTTTTAATAGAAATTATTTACTCTGCTGAGAGTTTCTAGACCAAGTTGGAAAAGAGCTGTTCAGCCTTAAAATTAGAAAAAGGCATTCAAGAATGTTGGCACGTTGCAATTAGAGCAGAATCGTCTGTATTGGAGTCCATGGAAGGGATCATCACTTCTGCTTGGAGGTGAATCGTAGTGGGAACAGGCAGTTTTTCACCTCCACTATTAACCTTAAGGTTCTGGTGCCATATTTAAAGGACTACTGGATAAGCATTCATTTTCTGTAAACCAAAACTCTGAGAATGGATACCTACACCTGAACATTCTGGTCCTTCCATCTTTATATGTTCAACCTGCTACCCTTGAACAGGTGGGCAGACTTTTTGCCCATGACTGGCCACCTTGACTTGCCTGTTACTCTCCAACTGCCTTTCTTCAGATATTCTGCATGCCTTGTATAACTTTGATTATTGCCACCCAACCTCCATCATGACATGGCACATCCCAACTCTCTCCAAGTAGAACGAGGCAATGACAAATCACTTCAAAGTTTAGTGAGTATAGTAATTTGCTTGGTGTGTACAGTAGGGAATTGGAATTATGGAGAACATAATGTGTGGGGAGCTTAATTCTGCCAAGCTGGTCTTTTAATAAGAATGCACGAAATGCAAATACAGGCAAAGGATTTACCGACACTTGTTGTTGGGAAAACTTGACCAGTCTTTACAGTTTGGAGAACTTAATTCTAAACTTCAATCACGTCATTGGGAAGCTGATATTTGGCCCCAGCACAATTAACATCCCACACCAACCTTGCTTCCCACTCTCAAGAGCAGCACAAGATTCCATCCAAAGTGTAGGGGGAGTCTGGAACACTCATTCCTCAATCAGCAGTTGAGGCTAGTTCAGTTGAAATTTTTGAACCTGAGCTTTAAAGATTATTGTTAAACAAGAATATCGGGTTAAAGAACCAAGGTTGACAGATGGAGTTAAGATGTACATCAACCAAGATCTCAATGATTGATAGAATAGAATTGAAGTACAAAATGGCATACTCCTATGTATCAACAGCCTACTTCAATGCTGTAAGTACGACGTAACAATGTCTCAATGTAACATTTTTCATCTCAGCCATTAGTTCATTGTTTGATACTCCACTCCAGAAATTTACATGCTTAACCTAGGCTGATGATTCAATTTAGTACTAAATGTGCTGCAGAGTCTTTCAAGCAAGCTGTTGGAAGCAAAGTCCTGTTTGCCCCCTCGGGTGGACTGAAAGTATCCCGTGGCATTATTTGAAGAGAAAGGAGATTTACCCAATTCTTCTATCCAGCATGTACTACTTAGTCAACTACTAATCATGATTATCTGTCTGCTCATTGTTATTTGTGGCACCTTGGATGTTGACTGCCAATGAGTATTCATCAAGTACTTGTTTAGTACAGATTGATAGGTGCTAAAGAAGTAATCTATTTCTTGTTACATAGGTACATGCATTTATGTTTTAGGACATATCCAAGTTCAGTAGGGATTTGTGGTCAGAGTGACAGTAAAATTATCACTGCATAGGTCAGGAGTGCCATTTAAAGTGCATATTTGATTAGGTTTATTTCAAAAATAAGAAGTTGACATATGCAGTTCCTGTAAAATCTCGTTTAGTTTAATTTGGTAAAGTATTGGTTAAAGACTAATAATGTTGCAATGCCGGAAAAGAGAAATTGATCTTGAGCGTACATTTATTTCATTAGCAGTCATCAAATGAACAGCAGAAATATGTATTAACTTGAATTTAAGGTAAGTTGCGTGATTTTTCTCAGTCATCCAATGTCTCATTAGACCCTTTAATGGGATGTCTGATCAGGTGTTTTGAAGTTGTCAGTTCAAGTGTTTCCAGCTTTTTACAAACTCATTTCCTGCATTTTTGAAGCTGCTGGTTTTGTTGCTTCCACAAATATCTATTCAGCTAGCTTAATTAGGAAATGCCATTCATCACTTCAAAATTCAGGCCTTATTGAATGCAGTTTTTGACTTTCATATGTTTTAGGAGAAACCATATTGACAAAATATGCTGATTATTCATTATTTATACAGTGGTTCAAGGTTCATTCTGTGTAAGAAATCAACTAATGCATTTCGTGCAAAAGTTGGCCTTTTTAAAGTCAGAACTGTAAATATTATCGACAATTACAATTTGTTTAGTTGCAAATATTTTATTTTCCAGGAACTCCAGCCACCCCTGCCACTCCAGCCAATGTCATGCAAAATTTACCTGATGCGTGGGCCTCCATCTCTCAGCTGTCAAACACAGACACAATTGCTGCTGTTGCACAGCTTCTGCAGAGTCCCCAGGGTCAACAGGTGTGCTATTCTTTGTGATTTTTTATGTACCTGTGTTGATAATTGCTGATAACAGTTGCAGATCTTGTGACAGTGGTAGTATTCCCACCTCTACCAGAGGATCTGGGTTTAAGTTCCTCATAACTTGTTTGATCAAGTACCCTGTTTCTCAATGATGCACTTTGTGCCTATTGAATGTCCTAACGTATGTTAATGTTGGTACATTTGTTTATCATAGAATCCCTACAGTGTGGAAACAGGCCGTTCGGCCCAGCAAGTCCATATTGATCCTCAGAGCATCCCACCCAGACCCATCTCCCTATAACCCACCTAATTGACACATCCCTGAACATTGCGGGCAATTTAGCATGGCCAACCCACCTAGCCTGCACATCCTTGGACTGTGGGAGGAAACCTACGCAGACACAGGGAGAATGCGCAAACTCGACGCAGACAGTCGCCCGAGGTTGGAATCGAACCCAGGTCCCTGGCTAACTAGTGCTAACCACTGAGCCACCGTGCCGCCCCATGTTTAGAGGACGCCTGAGTCATGGAAGTCTCATTGTTACCACACCAACTTATGTTTTGTCCTCAGTAGTGAAACTACTTTACATATTTGGAAATATGTCCCCAAATGGAAGGATCCAAGCAACAGATCATGCTGAATTTTCAGTTTTAATTGTCATTTAATTCAGAAAGAATAGTTTGTGCTCATTTTTTTGTTTCTTGCCTGGAAAGAGGCGTTTTATGCAGATAATATCAAGGTGGCTAAAACTCTAGCGGTATAAATGATTTAAAATATTATGTCCTCGCTTGCAAAACCTGATTCACTATTTTGTAAATAGAACGCAAAATAGAGCAAATGCTGGAAATCTGAAGCTAAAAATGTGGATCTGGCATCATCTGAAGACATGAACACTTTGCATGCATAACTTTCTAAATGTACCATCTTTTTGTTTTTTCTTTAGATGCACCCCCTCAGTGCAGTGCAAGCATGGAATGTTGTGACTGTTCCCACATTTGACCCTTTTTTGTTTTCTGAAAGCTCATTTATGCTTGAGGAAACCAAATTTGGTGTAATTATTATGTATTTGGAAATCATCTTTATGGTTTTTTTAATACAGTGTTTTAGAGAAAGACAAAAGGTCTAATCATTACAAGTAATCATGATGAAAGTTTCAGGCTTATATTTTTTCAAAACTTTTTGCACTGTATATACTATCATAATAGAACTTGATTATTATATTTCTGTTGTCGTCTAGTCATCTTCCACACCATTTGCTTTTTCCTTGCATGAGGCATAGACACGTTCCCTGCACCCAGGTGTTTGATAGTGTTACTTATTAAACATTTATTAAGAAGTTGTTAGTGTACAAACATAATTTAGACTGCCTTTCGTTCTAATATTTCAGCTCTTTTATTGGGAACACTATTTAGTGCCTCCACACAGTGAACAACTAAGATACAGGAATTGTGGAAAGTTGTAGGTATTTTGTCTGTGATGACTATTCTCTTTAAATGACATTAGTTCAAGGCAGAGTAGTTATTTATATATATTTGTGCAAATGTTGCAGGGGAGAGATTTTTTTTATGTAGCGATGATTCTTTAAATGTAAGTGATTGCATTGTCATTTCCATTTATCTCTAGCTCCAGCAGTTGGTGCAAAGTCTTCAGATGCAACAGCAAAAACCTCAGCCTTCTCTGCTTCAGGCTCTTGATGCTGGGCTTGTAGTTCAACTACAGGCTCTTACAGCCCAGCTGACAGCAGCTGCAACTGCTAATACACTCAATCCACTGGAGCAACGACTCAATTTTAATAAGGTACTGTGAAGGAAACAATTGTGTTACAGAGATAATGCATAATACAGCATGATTCTGATCGTTGGATGCAGTACCAAAAGAATTCTATATTCATTGCTCGGTAAATGAATAAAATATAAAGCATTGTGATATTTAACTAAGCTTTAATACTTTTTTTCAATATACATTAACTGTCTACTTGTATTTCAAAATGCATTGAATTTCTTAAATGTAGGTCCTCTATTTTCACAATTTCCCATTAATCATTAACAATTTGTGACAGAAATGTTTTTGCAGGTTTACGGCAATTTTCTTTTGGTTTGAGCATACCACTGTTCACATGCACTGCTTTCAATTAGTTCATTTCCGGACAGTCAATCTTTCTTACCTTTGGCATCTACATAATGATTTTCCTCCAAGATTTCCATTTTCTGGCAGACACACCCTTAATTGGCCTAGAAGTCACAGACTAAAGTGGGCCGGAAATTGGGTGATTCTAAAGTGGAAGGTTAAAATGCCTGCCTCTGTTCCTGAAAGCACTAACCCAGTTTTGCAATAGAGTCAGCAGCAAAGGTTGAGCTGTATTGGGAAGGTTTTACAATCTAGGGAAATTTAAACTCTTTTTGATCAATATAAACACTCTCTCACCCTGCCTCCCCTCATCATTATCTGTTTTTATGAACAGAACTTAAAAGCTATACTATTACAGAACAGAGTTGAAAAAATACTTTTTCCACTGGATCAGAGCCTTTTAGATTTAGTAGTTTTTGAAATTCTGAAGGAAGACATTAGATTAAATAGGGAAAGCCTGTTTCCTCTGGTTGGAGATTAGATATGTATGATTCACCAATTTAAATTTGCCCTTGTGCTCTTATATACCAGCCTATGTCCTGATGCAAGAGTAGACAGATATGCAACATGACTATGCAAATCCCTAAAACTATTGATGCAGGTTGTTAAGGCCATCACAGATCACCAGGGTATTAAGGCTGTGCTTACCAGAAAATGGAAATCTTGGAGCGAAAAGCATTACCAACATGCCAAAGGCAAGAAAAGGCTAATTTCTGGAAGGAAAACATCGAAAAGTAGAGATATCATATCAAATTAGAAATATGGTTGGACCACACTTGGAGTGAATGTTTGTGATTGCATGTTGTGCAAAGGCCATGTACAGCTTTTAGCACTACACCTTGCCTTTTTCATAAATTTGCTCCACAGTGAAGAGCAAGTTTTGATGGGTGATTGGTGATAGCTGATTTAACAGAGATCAATAACTCCTGAATGGAGAGAACCATTCATAATATCAGCTAACAGACTGACCACAGGTTGTCAACAGTTTACTGGGAATAAGGTTAAGAGAGCAGGATGTGTGTCTCATGGACACTGAACTCAGAGAGGATATAACGGGAAAAACTAATGAACGATGAGAGTTTAGGTTGGGGGAGAATCTTTAGAGGAGGTTTGCCCTGGTGGAACAGGGGGACATGGTTGAGGCAACTGATCAGATCATCTCGATCTTGGTGACAAAGAAATTTTTAAACATCTCTCACTTTGTGTTAGAGGTAAGGATAGAAGACGGTTTTAAGAAGACATTTTCAAGAATGGAAAGATGCTTAAGCAAGACATCTGCAGCAATGAAAAGAAGCTGGGGTTATCTTTATACTCCATGATGGTTTGGAAATATTGAACAAATGTAGTAGGCAAGCTGTAGATAATTGTGCTTTGTGTAATCCAGCTAGATCTAGTGGTGGCTGACTAAACCAGTTGCACACCATATCCTGTATTCCATGAACTTGCAGTTTGTAGAGATAAGGCCATAGCAGGTGAACTGACTAGGATGAGAGAGACAAATGATTTTATTAGGGTCAAGGGCATTGAATATAGACATGAGGATACAGTTCAGTAAATCAATAGCTGCTGAAAGGTCTAGAGAGCTGACATTTTGAATGAAGTTATAAATGAATTGAGAAGTTAATTTGGATGTTTAGAACTTTAAAAGAGAACTTTCTAACTGTACTCTTCAGCTATAAAATTATCTCCTGATTTAAACCACTTGGCCAATCAAAAGAGACATGGAAGGAATACACATTATTCACCTACCTGTTTTCCTGTGACGCCATACTTCAACCTTGACCGGTAGGAACAAGTAGAAGGGACACTCTGCCACCAGTTTTTATCTCCCACTGCCCTTTCATTGTAGTTTGCTCTTCCAATCCACTTCACAGTAATGCTGTCTTGCTGTAAGGTGATAGGGGTGGTCATAAATATAGGTTAGTGAGTGATTTTGGAAATTTTGAAAAATTTTGGAATAAGAGGGCTGTTAACTCAAAAAAGAATATGATAAGTTTAGATTGTGGTTAAAATCATTAATTATGGAAAGCATGGTGTATAGAAACTAAAGGGAAAGATGCAAAGGTGTCTTGGTGAGAGACTTTACATCATATATAGAAGGGCGATAGAGAATGAACTAAGATGAGTGGAGCAAGTTAAGATGCTCAAAGGAGGGTGAGGTATTAAAGGACTGGTCGTCAGGCCAAGATGAGATTTGCTAATTAGTGCCTAGGGCCTGATAAATCCCAGGGCATAAAAACCAACATCCCAGAGTACTTAAGGAAATGGCCACAGAAATAGTGGTGGTCATCTTTCAAGATTCCATTGACTCTAGAACAGTTCCTATGGTTTGGAGGGCAGCTAATGTAACCACACTAAGTAAAAAAGACAGTAGAGAGAAACCGGGGATTGTAGACCGATTTAGCTTAATATTGATAGGAGAGAAAATGTTAGAGTCCAATATAAAAGATTGATTAGCAGAGCACTTGGACAACAATGACAGGATTGGGCAGAGTCAGCATGGATTTATGAAAGGGAAATCATGCTTGACAAATGTACTGGAATTTTTCAATGCTGAAACTAGTAGCATTGAAAAGGAGGACCCAGTGAATGCGGTTTATTAGGGCTTTCAGAAGGTTTCTGATATAAGAGATTAGAATGTACAAATTAATAGGATTGGGGGAAGAGTGCTGACATGGGTAGAGAACTAATTGGCAGACTTGAAACAAAGTCATCTTCGAAGTGGCAGCCAGTGACTGGTGGGGTACTGCAGAGATCAGCGCCTGAACTCCAGCCAGTCACATTATAGATGAGGGAAGTAAGTGTAATATCTACAATTTTAGAGATGACACAAAGCTGGGTAGGTAGGTGAAATGAGGAGACCGTAGCAATGCTTCTGTGTGATAGGAATGAGTTGAATGAGTGGGCAAATGCATGGCAGCTGAAGACAAATGTGAGAATGTCCACTTTGGTAGCAAAAACAGAAAGGCAAATTATTATCTGAATGGCGATAAATTGGGAAAGAGCTAGGTGCATCAAGACATGAGCATCTTGTACACCAGTTGCGAAAGTAAGCATGCAGGTGCAGCAGGTGGTGAAGAAGGCAAAAGGTATATAGACCTTCACAACAAGAGGATTCAAGTACAGGAGCAGAGATGTCTTGCTGTAACTGTACAGGGCATTGATGAGACCACACCTGGCGTACTGTGTACAGTTTTGGCCTCCCTATCTAAGGAAGAATGTTCAGGCTATGGAGGGAATGCAACAAAGGTTTACCAGATTGAATCCTGGAATGATGGGGCTACCCATACAAGAGACACTGGATTAGCTAGGACTGTATTCACTGAATGGCCTACTCCTGTTCATAATTGTTGTGTTTCTAAATGCCATAATGCTACCGCCACAGTTTTTAATGCGGAAGTAGAAGAATATCTTGCCAGATGGGGAGGCTTTATTAAAAGAAAAGGTGTTATTGCCACTCAGCCAGGTTTCTGTATGGCTATGATGCCAACTCATTCATCCATAACAAGTTAGTGGATGGCAAGGGCCTTGTTCACCAAGAAATAGGCATTCTGATAGAGATACTAAGAAGAGTTGTAAAAGCAGAGTCCATGGTGCTTACAGTGGGAAGGGTGAGATGTTCAAAAAGGATTGACCCTCAGCTGGTACTCTGGGTGGGAAGCTCAACAAGAGAGCATGATAGGACAGTTAGGATTTGTTCTTCTCATGAGTCAGCGCCAAGTGCCTCACTGAGCCTCTTTTGTGTTTTAATCTTAGAAATGAACCCACAGCAAAATCCTTTAAAATGAAACAAGGTGAGGTTTGTTAACAAAACACTCATAACAACAGCTTCTTTGCTTCATTCTCTTTCTCATGCTCACACACACACACACACACAAGGTACAGTGGGAGAGAAAAAGGAAGGGAGGATGTTGAAAGTTTGAATGCCTAAAACAAAAGTCCAAGATGTTGGTATTAGTGTTTGTGACTTGAATCCAGAAAGTCCACGTCCAAACGGGAGTCTGTCACTTGGCTGATCTTGCAGCAATTTGTTTCCTTAGCTGTGTCCCCTTTATTTGCAACCCTTGAGAGGAAATGCTCCTCTTAATAGTACAGATGAATGGAATCCATCTTGTGGTTCCACAGCACAAGCACAACTACAAGTGCTTGGAACGTTCAGTTTATCTAGGAATCAGTAAACTGCAACCTTTAGTATTTAGCCAAGACATCTAAAAGTTTATTTCGTCTTTATAGTTTCATTCAGTGAGTAGGGATGGGTGTAGGTTCTTTCTGAACTGAACATTTTCCCAACAAGCAATGTTGATTCATCTTCTTTATCATATAGTCTCCAGTGTATGATTTGGGGACAAAGCAAGAAAGTAGAAATGAGAATTGTCAGAATAGCTATGATCTCATTGAATGGTGAAGTGCACTCGATGGGCTGAATGGCCTACTTTTGCTCGATGTCTGGTCTTGGTTAGAATCAGACTACCATTGTCAACAAACTGTAGGCAGGCGATGCCATAATAAATGAATTTCTGTTTTTGAAGAAGTTTCTGATTCTGAAGGAAGTAGCCATCACAAATAAAACAGGACCCACGCTTAGGTAAAGCCAGGTTGTGAAATACTGAATGGAATTTGTATGTTTTGTTGCAGAAACTCCTTGACAGATTTGAGTATGAAGAAGAACAGGATCATTCAGAGGAAACTAAGAAAGAAACATCTGCATCCCAGCTGTAAGAAATTGCCTTATTTGTAATCTTCTTCCCTGTGTTATACCCAAATGCATATCTTGCTTCTAAAATCCTTTGAACAATTATATTTCAATTGTGACATCATAGAATCATTATGGCACAAAAAGAGGCCAGTGACCATTGAGTCTATGTGGGGTCTGTCAGGTAATCCATATTTCACCCACAGTCCTAAAAGTTTATTTTTCTCTGGTTCACATCCAATTTCTTTTTGAAATCATTCACCAGTTCCAAAGTAGCAGCGAATTGCAGATCGTTGCCCCTTCCTGAGTTTAGAAAGATATTGTCCTTGCATCTGCTCATAATATCTTGTCCAAAACCTTAAATCAGTGTCCCTTAGTCCTTAATCATTAGCAAATGGGAATTGTTTTTTTTGCCTATTTTACATAAGCCTGCAATAATTCTGCACACCCGTATCAAAACTCGATTTCCTTTCCTCCAAGGTGAACCATCTCAGCTGCTTCACTTTATCATTATTGTTGTTATGCCTGGGACCACCCTGACAAATTTTCTCTGTGCACTCTCAAGGGCTCTTTATTCTTCTTTAAGTGGGTTCACTAGAATGAATTCCAGTACTCGTGTTGGCGGGGGGGGATGTTTAGCACAACTTCCTAGCTTTCGCACTCAATACCCACATTTCTGAAGCCCAATATCCCATAAGCTTTGCTAACTAGTCTTTCACTATGTCCATCACCTTCAAAGGTTTATAATTATCAACAACCATGTCCCTTTTACCCTCTTTACAATTGTACCATTTAGTCAATGTTGCAATTCTGTTTGTTCTTCCAAAATTCATTACCCTTCACTTCTCTATATTATAATTCCATTTGCCCATGTATGCCTGTTCTGCTAACCCATCTGTATTATGTTGTAGTTGTGTAGTTATATATATGAACAACATTGTATGTCATCTTTCAGTCTGAAAAACCGATCTTTTACCATGGCTGCTTTTCTGTCCTTCTGCTTTGTCCAAGTTGACATTCACTCTCCTCTTCTGCAAGCTTCAGTGGTGTTGACTAGTCCTTTTTGTGATAAATAGAAATATGCTGATGATAAGATTTAATTTCATTGCTTTGTTCCTGACTTACAAAGTACAATCATTGGAAAAGTATAGTATTTTGAACAACAGTCAGTGGAGCCAAGTGTTTGTTAGTTTTTTTTTCCCCACCAACTAAATGCCATGAGTTTTGCTGAATATCATTCTTGGTAGTCCCCTTCCTTAGTAGTTCCATCATCATTTTCAGGGACGTTTTGCTGGCTATAAGCAAGAGAAGGCAGATATGGGTTATGACTATATCTTGGACCCTTAGTATGTTAGTAAACTTTGAAGAACTGAAAGTATTCTGACTTGATATGGATGCCTTGTATTTCTGCCACTTGTAGTCCACATTCATCAGTTCTGTTTTCACAGGAATGCGTGTTGAAGGATTGGAAATTGCTTAGAAAATTGGATTGTTAGAAATTGTTATTTGAGACAAGAATGGGATACAGTTTTGATGTGTTGGTTTTAATTTTCCATAACTCATTAGATTTGGGGGAAGTCTCCTTTCGAAAAAGGTTTGCAACCAGGCAACAGAAGATGTTCCACACAACATTAAATGGGGGGCTGCTTTATTCAGTTTTGTCTGATATATGGTAAAACTACCAAATCCTAACATGTAATTGTTAATAGTACAAGATAAGTTTTGAATTGATACTTCTGTATAAGGATCTTGTGCTCAGCTTGTGTTCTTGAAACTTAAAAAAATTCTGAGAACTTGAAATATATTTGCTATTGGTAATTGAGCAGGAGCTATCAAGAATAATAAATATAAGCAAATTTTGAGAGGTTGATATCGTATCTGTATGTATAGATATGGGGGGATAATTTTATGAAACTATTCCCGTAGTTCTTGTCTCCTGTCAATTGTTTAAAAGCCCATCTGGTTCACTAATCTCCTTTGTAGGTGGATATCTGCCATCTTTCTGGTTTAGCTGTGACTACAGACCTACAACAGTACAATTGACTCTTAACTGCTCCCTGAACATTAGGGATGCGCAATAAATCCTGACCCAGTCAGTGATGCTGACATATGTGGAGTGAAGTTAAAAAACCTGCCCCCACTCTTGAATCACTACCTTGAAGGACTTGGTGTTGGCTGCACAAAATTTCACTGGTTCATTGACCAAAGTGACATTCAGCTTCCCAAAAGATGTCTGGCACATCTCTAAGCATACTATTTTGGCATTCTTTTGGAGTGGAACTGTCAGTGGAGCAACTACGGCGCTGAAATTTGATAGAAACCCGAGATAAAACCCACACATCCCAAAAATCTTGTTATTTCCTGTTGAGTTTTAGGGTCAGGAAACTCCACCAATGCTTGTTCTTGGCAACACTTGTCCTTGCCCTCTTGTATGTTTTATTTTCACATTTACTTCTGGCTAGGTTTACCTCCAAATTAACTGCTTGTAATTTCCAAACCAAAACTTCCAGTTGTTCCATGTAGTTCCCCCCAGCATCAGTGTAATCCGGTATATTATCAATATAAACTACGCAATTAAGAACGTTGGCTGCTTGCTTGCTTCATTAGTCTCTGGAAAGTTGCTGGGCATAATTTTTAGCTTGAATGGAATCACTTGGGATTGGAACTGACTGTCTAGTGCAACAAAGACTGACACTTCTTTAGAGTCATAAAGTCATACAGCATGGAAACAGACCCATCAGTCCAATTCGTCCATACCGAACAGTTTTCTCAAACTAAACAGGTCACTTTTGCTTGCATTTGGCCCATATCTGTCTAAACCTTTTCTGTTCATGTACATGTCCAAATGTCTTTTAAATGTTGTAGCTGTACCTGCTCCTACCATTTCCTCTGGCAGTCCATTTCATTATACACACTACTTTCTGCGTGAAAAAGTTGCCCCTAAGGTCCCTTTTAAATGTTTCCTTTCTCACCTTAAACCAATGCTCTCTAGTTTTGAACTCCCCTACCCGAGGGAAAACACCTTTGCCGTTCACCTTATCAATCCCCTAATGATTTTCTAAACCTTCATAAGGTCACCTCCTAACCTCCTACGCTCCTGGGAAAAACATCACAGCCTATCCAGCCTCTCTTTATAACTCAAACCCTCCCAGCCCGGTAACATCCCTGTAAATTTTTCTGCACCCTTTCCAATTTAATAATATCCTTCCTATAGAAGGGTGACCAGAACTACACGTAGCAAAAGAGGCATCACCAATGACCTGTACAGCCGCAACATGATGTCCCAACTGCTATACTCTGACCAATGAAGGCAAGCATTCCAAATGTCCTCCTCACTACCCTATCTACCTGTGGTGCCACTTTCAAGAAATTATGTACCTGCACTCCTAGGTCTGTCTGTTCAGCAGCACTCCCCAGGGCCCTACTGTTAACTGTGTAAGTCCTGCCCTGGTTTGTCTTATCAAATTGCAAGATCTCACATTTATCTAAATTAAATTCCATCTATCACTGCTCGGTCCAATGGCCTAGCTGATCGAGATACTGTTGTGCTCTTCAATTACCTTCTTTACTGTACCACCAATTTTGGTGTCATCTGCAAACTTACTAACCATGCTTCCTATAGTCTCATCCAAATTGTTTGTACAACATGGACCCAGCACTGATCCCTGCAGAACACCGCTGGTCACAGGCCTCAAGTCTAAAACCCTTCCCTCTACCACCACCCTCTTGTTTCCCTGCCATTACGCTAATTTTGTATCCAATTTACTATTCAGTCTACCATGCTGAATCTTGTCAAAGGCCTTACTAAAGTCCATGTAGACAGTTTTTACTGCTCTACCCTCATTTGTCTTATTGGTCACATTCTCAGAAACTCAGTCAAATTTGTGAGACACAGTTTCCCACACAAAGCCAGTTGACTATTCCAAATCATTCCTTACTTCTCCAAATGCAAGTAAATCCTGTCTCTCACAATCCCCTCCAACAATTTACTAACCACTGGCATCAGACTCACCAGTCAATAGTTCCCTGGCTTCTCTTTACAGCTTTTTTAAAGTAAAGGCGCCACATTAACCACCCTCCAGTCTTCTGGCACCTCACCCGTGATTGTAGAAATATCTCTGCAAGGCTCCGTAAGTTTTCCTTATCTTACCAAAATTGTCCTAGGATGCACCTGATCAGATCCCGGAGATTTACCTTCCTTTATGTGTTTTCAGACTTCCAGCACTACCTCTTCTGTAGTAGGCCAGAGTGCTGAAGGTACTTTCCAATATATTTTTAGCAAATCTATTTCAGCAAGAAATCTGACAATGCCAACTTAATCTGTACAGTTTTCCAAGCGAAGTATTGAGTAGGAGTCTGTCTTTCTTGCTGCATCGACAATGCAGGACTTAGTTGAATCGGAAGGCTTAGTTACTAACACTATCAAGGAAACTCCAGCTGTTTTAACTAGGTTAATTTGGCTATTTTCCCACAGGGGCAGGTGATGGCCGAGTGGTATTATCGTTAGACTATTAATCCAGAAACTCAGCTTATGTTGTGGGGATCTAATGAACATGAAGCCATTGTGGGGGAAAAGCCTATCTGGTTCACTAATGTCCCTCGAGTGCAGAAGATAAGGCTGATGCATGTGCAGCAACCTGTAGTCCGAAGAGCTGAATGAATGATCCATCTCTGCCTCCTTCAGTGGTCACCACCTTCACGTATGCCAGATTTCAGTCAATTTGGTTCACTCTGTGATATCAAGAAATCAGGGCCTGATGGGATCTAGATCAGGAAATTACTGGGGAAATGTTTCAGCTTTATCTTTTGCAATCCCTGAAGGACATTAGTGAAACAGATAGATTTTTCCCCCACAATACCATCATTCTCATTAGATTTTTAATTCCACAATTTTTTATTGAATTCAAATTTAGTCAGAAAGGGTGGGGGAGGCAGTAAAAAGGGAACAACTAACCAGTTAGCTTAACATCTAGCGTGAGAATGTTAGAGGGTATTATTAAAGACATTATAATGGGCCACTTGGATAAGTTCAAGGTAATCAGGCAGAGCCGACGTGGTTTTGTCAAAGGTAAATTGTGTTTATTTGAGTTCTTTGAAGAAATAACTTGTGCTATAGATAAAGGAGAACCGGTAAATATATTATTCTTAGATTTCCAGAAGGCATTTGATAAGATGTTACATCAAATGGTTATTGCTGACAATAAAAGCTCATGCTGTAAGGAATAACATTGTGGCATGGATAGAAGATTGGCTTGTTAACAGGAAGCAGAGAGTAGAAATAAATGGGTCTTTTTCAGGCTGGCAGGATGTCACAAGTGGTGTGCCACTGAAGTTGTTGCTGGAGTCTGAGCTGTTTTCAGTTTCTATAAATAAAGGGATTAAATGTACAGTAGCTAAATTTTCTGAATGCCAAAATAAGTAGGAAAGTGACTTGTAAGGAAGACTTTAAAAGCCTACGTAAGGATATAGATAGGTTAAGTGAGTGGGCAAAGATTTGACAAAGGAAGTACAATGTGGGTGGGTTGGCAGAAAGAATAAAACAGAAACATGCTATCTAAATAGTGAGAGGTTACAGAGCTCTTATCTGCAGAGAGATCCTCATGTATAAATAGCAGAATGTTCATATGTGGGTACAACAAGTAAGCAGGTAGGATGATGTGTTTTATTGTGAGGGGAACTGAATGCTGGATTAGGGATGTGTGCAGTGCTGGCCACATACATGTGGATGGATGTTGATGCATTGGAAGGATATCAGTGAAGGGTTAGTAGACTTGTATCTGAAATGAGTGGATTGCCTTATGTGGAAAGGCTAGGCTTGTATCCTGTAGAGTTTAGAAATTCCGAGGTGACTTAATTGAAACACTAAGATCCTGAGTGGACTTGACGAGATGGATGTTAATAGGAGGTTTTCTGTCAAGGGAGAATCTAGAACTTGGGATCATTGTTTAAAAATAGGGGGTAGCCCATTCAATACAGATATGAGAAGCATTTTTTTCTGTGAGGGGTAAGAATCTTTGGAATTACCTTCCTCAAAGGGCAGTAGATGCAGAATCTTTATTTTTATGATAGGGTAGATAGATTCTTAATTACCAAGGGAATGGAAGATTATTGGAAACGTGAGCAATGTAGAATTGAGGTTAAAATCTGGTTTGCCATGATCTTATTGAATGGCAGAGAAGGGTCAAGTGGCCTACTGTTGCTCCTTGTTAGTATGCCCATTCAAAAATAAGACAAAAAAAAGAGGAAAAGCTAATAGTGGCCCAGAGAATTGGAACTTTTTCAGCTACCGAAATGGATTAGTAGAAAGCTAATAAAGATGGAGGAAATTGATTTTGAAAATAATTTAGAAATAAATATAAAAACAAACAGCAAGAGCTTCTGCAAGTATAGAAAAAGGAGAGTAGCTAAAGTAACTATGAGACCCTTGGAAGGTGCAACTAGGGAATTGATTGCAAGGAGCAAGGAAATGGCAGATAATTTAAGCTAATATATTTCATTAGTCTTCATGATGGAGGACACTATAAGCACCCCAAAGATAATTGATAAGCAAGCTGCTAATGAGAGGAAAGATCTTTTAATAGTCTCTATCACCAGGGACAAAGTATTTGACAAACTAATGGGATTAAAGGCAGACAAGTCACCAGAACCTGATGGCCTGCAATCATGGGTTTTGGAGGAAGTGACTGTAGAGACTATGGAAGCATTGATCAAAATATTCCAGAATCTGCTGGATTCTGGTAGGGTTCCAACAGATTGAAAAACTATAAAATGTGACTCCCCGTACACGAAAGGAGGAAGACAGAAAGCAGAAAACCATTGACCAGTTAGCTAACTTATCCTTTAAAAACTAAGAATATAGTACTTTATTACAGTCTCTTGTAGAAGGACTATTGTTCATACACGTGTGGCAAATGATTATCTCTTTGATTTACAGACCTCTTGTAGCTGAGACCATGAACACATCACTTTTTCAGCAGCTGGCCGAGCAATTCCAACAGCAAAACTTTGAGCAACTTCGGCAACAGATAATGGAGCAACAGCAGACGCAGCAGGTACAAGAAGAAGAATAAATGATAATTGTGAATATAACTTGAATAAACTAAGTTCACATCCAAGACTGAGAGGCACTGAAAGTGATGGCAGTGCAACTTTTGCTTCTGTTAATACGTTTTGAAACAAGTTATTTTGTACTTCATAGTGCCTGCATTTTTTATGTTTATTTGAATCTTGATTAAAAGCAAAGCATATTTATCAAAAATTATTTTACAAGACTGCACGTCATAAATTTGTGATATATTGTATCTCCACCATCAAATCCAACACTCTGCAAATTATCACTCATGCTTTACTGTCTCTAATTTATGAAACATAGATACATTTCATTTTTATTGCCAGTCCACGTGTAGTTTTTGAAAGTTTTTCCCATATTTCTAGTACTTCTGGAGCTTATCTTTGAGGCAAACTTCAACAATTTAATTACAAAGATTGTAATCAGTAGCATTCAATATTAGAACTTCACAGAATGAATGTACAAAATATGAACATACGGTATATTAGATGCCGAGAGCCCAAAATATTAGACGCCCCGATGGTGTATATGCAGGGTGCTGTGTGTGTGTGTGTGTGTGTGTGTGTGTGTGTGTGTTGGTGGGAGGAGGGGGGTCTTGCTTCACCTGACAAACAAGCAGTGCTCCAAAAACTTGTGATTTCAAATTACCTGTTGGACTATAATGTGTTGTGTGACTTCTGACCTTACATAGACTTCGCTAAGGCTTTTGACAAGGTCTTGCGTGAAAAATTAGTTAAGAAGGTAAGGGTTCATGGGATCCGGGGCAATTTGGTCTACTGGATCCAAAATTGGCTTAGTGGCAGGAGACAGAGGATGATGGGCAAAGGCTATTTTTGTAACTGGAAGCCTGTTGGCAGTGGCATACCACAGGGTACAGTGCTGGGTCATTTGCTGTTTGTAGTGCAGTTGAAAGATTTAGACATGAATGTAGGAGATTGGATCATTGAGGTGACCAGTAAAATTGGTGGTTTGGTAAATAGCAAGGAGGAAAGTCTTAGATTACAGGATGATATATAATGGGCTGATCAGATGAGCAGAAGTGGCAAATGGTATTTAATCCCGAAATATGAGGTACTTTGAGAGGAATACCAAGGCCTTGGAGTGTATAATGAATGGTAGAGCCTTAGAAAGTACAGAGAATCAGATGATGTGCATATCCACTGATCCTTGAAGGCAGCAGGTCAGGTAGATAAAAGTAGTTAAGAAGGCATATGGGATACTTGCCTTTATTAATTGACACATTGAATACAAGAGGAGGGAGGTTATGATGGAACTAAATAAGATATTAGTTAGGTCACAGCTGGAATACTATCTGCCATTCTGGTCACTACACTACAGGAAGGATGTGATTGCACTAGTGAGGGTGTGGAGGAGGTTCACCAGGCTGTCGCTGAGGTTGGAGAGTTCCACCTATGAAGAGAGACGAGATAGGCTGGGGTTTATGAGGGCCATTGATAGGAAGAACCTTTTCCCCTTAGGACAGGAGTTACTAAGCAGCGGTAGGAGGTTTAAGGGGGATCCAAGGGAGAAATTTTTCACCTAGAGGATGGAGGGTATATGCAACTCACTGCTTGAGGCATGAATCACAACATTTTGGAACTGCTAACAGCATTGCAAGGCTTTAGGCCTCAAGCTCTCTGAAAACTTGGACTAGAGTAGTTAGTGTTTGATGACCAGCACAGACTTGATGGGTCAAAGGGACTCTTTCCATGCTGTAAAACTCTCTGCCTGTATGAAGATGGGTGAGTGATTCATGACTCAGTATTTTGTTTTCTTTTATGCTATATTAGGCTAGATTTATTTCTCTGAAGTCCATACGTGACCTACTTCTAAGTCAGCACGCATGTAGTCAGTTTATTTGAGTTTTAGTGTTAATGATTTGTGTTTGTAGTGATGTGCATTTCATTACCATCAAATTTGTTATTTTGTAACTAATGAACCATAACTTGGGTGAAGTAGGAAGGGCTTTTTTATTGTATTTGAGAATTATAGGATGAATTGCAGTCATGTATAGTCAAATTTAATTGTTTGGAATGCATAACACTGAGTCCTGCTCATGCTAGTGTCACAAAGCTAATTTCATATGTACTGCAAATTATTCTGCTTGGACACTTTTGTTCAGTCCTAGTAAGGAAAATTTGTATATGCTGTATTTTGGTATCTAAAAAGGTTTTTCAGGGCTAGTAGGCTAAGAGAAGTAACCCTTAGTGTTCAGATTTGAATTTATGAATTAAATTATTTTGCAGAATGCAACTTTGGACAATCAGGAGGTAACTTTTGGATCTGAACAGTCAGTGACCCCTTCCCAGAGCAGCACTCATCAGCAACAAGAGCAAGAGATCAGAGTGGAGGATCCACTTGAGCAACAACAACAGGTAGAGAGACAATTTTGTATAATATCATACTGAACATATTCTAGAATGCAGCTTTCACGAGCATATTAATGAAAAAGTATTTGAATTTTTTGCTGAAATCTGAGAGATTAAAACTGACAGTATTTTTGTATTTTGTTCCATTATAACTAAAATTAAATCAGCTCTGCCAAAGTAATTAAACTTGGAGTGGTTGCACCATGTGTTAGCGAGCTCCTGTCAAATCAAATGAATAGGACACATAGAATGTGTCATTTATCTAGACATAGGATAAACAAGAGAAGTGAAAATTAAATATAACTGCCCCAATTAGTCCATATATTTTTATAAATCCATGCATATGCGTGAGCTCGGCATTTATTGCACCTTTGTTAAAGTTTACTTTGCAGAGCGAGGCTCTCGAGCTGCCATCAATGTCAGTTCTTAACTAGAGTAATCAAAACTAATCTACAGCTCTCTCCCTCCCCTTGCATTTAATTTTCCTCTGCTTCACCTTTTTATGAATTCTAAACACCGCAATCCCCCACCCCACCCGCCCCACCCTCAAACAGAATATTGCATAAAGAGGTTGGCTTGAATCAAGGGCCTTTCACAGTCTTTACTGTTACCATTCTATACCATGCCTCTGATTGCAACACCTTCCCTGATACAATGGAAATAAGTCCCAGGATCTCAAATAACTTGAAAATTGTTGCCTGAAAAAGCCATGTGAATTTATGCCCAACTAATTAATTGTCGATATTAAGTCATTTTTTTTCTACTGTTCACCATTTTGGAGGAAAGAAATGAAGAATGGTTGTGCAGATCATTAAATATTATAGTTAGGCAATATTAAGTGGCATAATTCATTATTTGCACTAAGTGTTGCTAACTATTCGGAAATTATGGGAACTGATAAATTTATTCATTCATAACACTGCATGCCAGAAAATACATGTACTTGGAATTGGAAAATGCAGTTGCACCTGGCATTCCCTATATTTGGAACCATTCAATGTTAATTTCTAGAGCCATCAGTCGGCATCACTTGATTTGGAATCAGATGAATTATACTGTTATAATGGTTTATACTGTTGACCTTTGAATTAATTGTTATTTTTGTTTTTAATGATACCTTGGGTTATTAAGGATATGGATATTGATGCACCTGATGGTCAGGACCTTATTGAAGAAGAAATCTTTCAGCATGAAGAAAAAAAACCTTTAGCACGTTCAAGATCTCTGACACGCTCAAGATCTCGTTCAAGGTGCGATATTTATTTACTCTAATTTGAAGCAGTTCATTTAAAATGTTAGATTTATTTGACAGATAATCCTCAAATTATAAGGAATTAAATGTAATATTTGAAAGCATTACATTTTGTATAATTTTTGATTAGATCACCTCGAAAGAAAAGGTCCAGATCCCGCTCAGGGTCTCGCAAGCGCAAACATCGGAAACGCTCTCGCTCAAGATCAAAAGAAAGAAAAAGGAAGTCGTCTCGATCTTACTCCAGTGAAAGAAGAGCGAGGGAGCGTGAAAAGGAACGTCAGAAAAAGGGTCTACCACCTATCCGTTCGAAAACACTTAGTGGTATGTAATTTCAAATGGATTCATTTCCTTCTGTTTTTGAATGTGATTGTATAGCAAAGTTTTTCTTTTGTTCTTATTCAACATCTTTAGGACAGAAAATGGTTATAATGCAACAGGCTGCTCATGTAACAGAGTATTGTGTGTGGACAGAACTGAAAGATTTTGAAATATAATACGTTTCTTAATTATGTTCATAGTTCATAGCACCGCAGTCTGCCCCAACTCTATAATAGAATGAACGGCAATAGTTTACATGTTAAGCAGACAGTTATTTGTATCGACTAGCGTTCTATTTGTCCATGATAAAGGTCCTGCTTCTTGCTATAAAATTTTTTATGGCAGACCTAAAATGAGCAGGAATGCAAAGCTGTAAACACAATTGTTTCTGTATTGCAGTTTATTGAAATTGTACTGTAAGTAAGCAGATTAGTAATTAAGATGTTCTGAAACAACATATTTTTAAATCAGCAAACCATATGTGGCACTTGTATATCAATGTTGTTCAATATTTTACATATTTGACACGTGGATTGTCAGGTATCCAAATATGTCTACTTGCATTTCTAATTAACATATGACAAATGAATACTGGATATTGACATTGGGCACGTTATCTCAATACTCACAAATTGCATGGCAAACGGCAAGATGGGACTCGTGTGTGTTTTGATCATTATAACTGCTTTACTCGCTTGATGACTTAATTATGTGAAGTAAATATATACTAATCATATTTTCCTGCATTAACTGAATGTTTGTAGTGTAATTTTCTGCAATAAGGCATGTGTTTAAAATAGCCTTTGCCATGATACTAACTATTCCTGCAATTTTAACGAGACAACACTTAATGCGTTTTCATGGGTAAACTGAAGAAAAATCAGTGACTTATAACAAGGAATGATGTATGTTATTTGACAGAGGTTTTATTATTCCTTATGTCTATTCTTTACTTTTAATGGTGTTATTCTACAATGCCAGTTCCAATTTATTACTACTTAAATAAACCGGTTTAAGGCCTAAAAGGAATTGTTCCAGTTCAGGTTTTATTTTTACCAATACTTGCTACTCTGTTGACAGCTAGATGACAGTGTCCTTAAATAGAATCTATTTATCAAGGAAAAGCAAAAAAAAATTGACCACATATTAGAGATATTCCTCTGCTGTTTTTCAGAATAGTGCGATAGGATCTTTTACAGTCACCTAAAAAGAAGTTGGGGACCTTTGTTTAATATCTCATCTGAAAAGCAATTCCTCTGACAGTACTCATTGCTGCAATGGAGTGTAACCTTGTTTCTCTGTTCAAGCCCTGAAGGGTGACTTGAATCCATTACCTTATGACTCTGAGAGTGCTACCAACTGAGCCATGCCAAACATATAACATGTTAAAAAATTCATTGATGGGAAGTAGGCATCACTGGCTAAAACAGCATTGATTTCCCATTCTTATCTTTTGTAGAGAAGTTGGTAATAAACTGCATGCTTGAACTGCTGCAGTCCTTGGTTTTGCTACAACCACAAGGCTTGTTAGGCCATTTCAAAGGGCAGCTAAGAGTACCACTTTGCTCTGGGTTTGGAGTCACATGTAGGTCAGCACAATTAAGGACAGATTTATTTATTTATTTTCCTAAAGGATATTCATGAGCCTTTTTTTTAATACAACAGTTGACAATGTTTACTTTGTCATCATTAGAGTAACTTTAACTTCCGACCTTGTCTATTGAATTCACATTTTACTAACAGTCTTGGAAACATTTGAGCCCATGTCCCCAGCACATTAGCCTGGGACTCTGGATTGATAATCCAGTGACATTGTGCCATGGCCTCTTGCTGATGCTTCTTAAAATCTTATCTCTTAACAAAGATTTTGATCACCTGCCCTGATATTTTCTTGTGGCTCCTATTAAATGTGTTACTGAATAGAACTTGTTGTATATGTAATGATTTGGCGATAGAGTGACTACAAAATTTGCTGATGATTCAGAATTAATGGGTTGACAAATGGCCAACATATTCCAAAAATAAACAGCAGTGGAATGGGTGTACTGAATGTTGGATGCATTTTACAGTTGGGATTGAGTGCACAAGTTTGGGTTAAGAACAAAGAATGGGAGCATCCGCTCATTGAGAAGACCCTGCATCACAAGGCTAAGCAGCATTATTCCCTGAAAGTGAGAGACCAGGTAAATAAAGAAAAGCGTTTAGAAAACAGTGATAAGGCCAAATTCAAAATAATTTACACAGTCTTAGGGTACCCCATTAAAGAAAGAAGATTTACGTTATTACTAGTAAATTTTCTCGGTAAATGCCAGGGGTATCTTTTAGGTGCCAGTTGTGTTCATTATTGGCACTGTTTGCATTGAGTCAGAAGCTCGTAGGTTCAAGTCCCTGTCGAGAAACTTTCCAGTCTTGTACTAAGAGAGTGCAGCATTATTGGAGATGTCGCTTTAAGATGTGGCATTAATCTGAAGCCCCACCTGCTCACAAGTGAATGTAAAAGATACCATGATGCTTTAGAGTTAAAAATTCTTTATCCTTTTGCCAGTGCCATGTTTATCCCTCAACATCATCACCAACACACATGATCTTATTATCACTTTGGCTGCTAGATTTTCTACGCTATAACAATGACTGTATGCTATAGCGCAAGTACTCAAGGGTCGTAAAAATACATGTTTGTCTTCTAACCTCATATGCTGACACAGATCTTTTGATCATTCCAGCTTTTTGTATAGAAATTTATCCTCAAAGCTTAAATTTATTCCTATTATAGTATGAAGTAAAGCTGTAGCATTAACAGTAGCTTTTCATGTAGATTGTGATTTCTATTAAATTCTTTTCTTTATTTCATACCTGCACTTCAGTATGCAGTACTACACTATGGGTTGGTCAGGTAGACAAAAAGGCAACACAGCAAGATATAACAAATCTCTTTGAGGAATTCGGCCAGATTGAATCAATAAATGTGAGTATTGACTAATTTGTGGTAGTGTTTGTAACATTTGACTTTTTAAGTTCTTGATTTTTTAAAATCGGATGTTTCGTACTCTGAAGATAAATAAACCACCCAATGGGAAATTAATATTTATACATTAGTTTGTTGATTATTTTTTCACTAGTTGATGAATTATAACTGACAAATTTATAACAGTTTTGAAAAGCAGTGTAAGAACAACAGTTATAACATTACAGTAATCAAGGAGTGTGGAGTTACTGATGGTGCAACGTTGATATTACTGGCAATTTTATCAACCAGATTTGGATATTTTCACTGACTCCTGATGCTATGCCAGAAAAGTATACCTCTAAATACTTTTCCCAACATATGTTCGAAGCTGCTGCTTTGCACTGGGTGGAATTTGAATGAGATGTTTTTAAATAATAAGTACACATGTAAGGATGCTTGATGTTTAATTGAGTTTTCATATGGTGATTTTTGCTATCTGGTTCAAACCCCTTTAGTATGATTAATATTTCTGGATATCCCCTATAGGCAAATTGGCAATCTTCTCCATAGATTTCAAAAATGTAAACGGTTTACTACATTTGATCAAGTTAAACTTCATTGATCTCTGTCTTGCTTGGCCAAACAGTTTCAAACTAAGTTCAGGCTGATTTGAAAACAAATTGATAGTGTTCTGGACCTGGAATCAATAATGGCTGGTAGAGCAAAGAGTCAGTGAGAACTAAGAAACTTGATAAATGAAGAACAAATAGAATAAAAGATGACAGACCAAAATGTTATATTTTTAAAGTTGTTCTTTGTTTTTTGGGATGTATATATGAAATTTTTTTTTTTTTTTTAAAAATAGCTCCTTGATCTCTGGATTCTTAGTGTATTATATAAAGTAATGTATGTACTTGAGGTAAACCTTCAATTAAAGGAAATGGACAAGCTACTCTGAGATGTATGCATCTTGAGGCCAAAACCTTTTTTAAAAGAAATACTGAAAAAATAAGCATCAATCAAGGTAAAGTAAGAAAATCCATCCCTTGGGCACCATTCAGAAGTGTAGCCTCTTTTGTTCTAAATAAACACAAAATAATATAGCACAGAGGTCTGTAGTAGTTGGATCTTCAAAGATCCTATCCCAGTTAATCTCATTCTGCAGCATTTCTGTATAAATTATTCCATTTCAGGAATTGCAAGTTGTATATACTTTCACCACCCTTTCAGGTAGTGCATTCCAAGTTGTTGTAATTTTTTAATCCATATCTTTAATCCATAAAATCCATATCTTCCCTCTGGTTCTTTTGCCAATTACCTAAAATCTGAGAGTGTTTTAATTGATCTGCCACTGAAAACAGTTCGTCATTATTTAATCTGTCAAAACCCCTATATTAAAACCTCCCTTTAATTTTTTCGTTCTAAGGGCATCAACCCCAGTTCGTCTGTATGCTCTGTATCAACTTGATATCCTTCCAGTAAATCTGTACCCATCTTGAAACCTAGATGCATTTTCTAAAATATGTTGCTGAGAATTTTGATACAGTACTCCAGCAAGGTCTTGTATGGGCATTCTCACTGCCACTTTTAAATTGTGGACTTTAATGTTGCCAATCACTTTATTAAGTGGTGCTTTGACTGACTTTTGCAGGATGGTACCTCATTAAAGTAATCTAATCCCATTACTTCAAAGTTGGCTATTCCATTAATGTGAAGTATTGTTGAATAAAGAGAGAAGGTTTTTAAAGTTTGTTTCAATTACTGTTTTATCTCTCCTAGATGATACCTCCTCGAGGATGTGCATACGTTTGTATGGTTCATCGACAAGATGCTTTTCGTGCTCTTCAGAAACTAAGCACTGGATCCTTTAAAATGGGCTCTAAAATTATTAAGGTGAGTTTAAATTCTGAACAAAAGACTATTAAACAAGTCAGTTTCAGAAATTGAAAAGTGACACAAAGGAACGGCTTTGGTTTGCTTTTTCTGAATGAGCACAATATGCTTGTATAAAAGGATTATTAAAAATGATAGCAGTGTGGACTTTTCGTCATTTTTGGTCTGGATTGTCTCTATTCACAAGGAAAGTGCAGAGCAGAGCTTCATCAACTCCTAATGCAGGTATTAGTGATGCTCAGGAACATTTGTCTGCTTATCTCCAGTGGTAGATTTGCTCCATCTGGTATTATTTCAGAAAAAAGTCATTTTCCACTTCAATTTTGGGTCAGTATTAGGGGAAGATTTTATGTTGTTGTTGAAGGACGGAGCGTATTTAGACAGTAAATCAATCCTGTGCTGGAATATATTTCCAAGATACACTGACCAGAAGAAACCTTTCTTCAACAGTGACTTGATATCTTTATTTTGTTTCCTACGAGCAGGTTCCAAAGAATAGCATATTTTTCATTAACATTTTTCTTGGCACTAAATGCTGCTTTGTCCTGGAAGTGGGAAAGTGGGACATTTTTAATCCATTCATGAGATGTAAGCACCATTGCCATGATCAGCACTTTTTACCCTTAAAAAGGTAGTGTTTACCCCCACCTTTGACAACTGCAGTTAATCTGGTGTAGATACACCCACAATATTGTAGGGAGGGAATTCCTGGATTTTGACCCAGAAGTGATGAATGAATGGCTGTACAGTTCCAAGTCAGGCCAGTATATCACATGGAAGGAAACTTGCAGGTGGAGATCCACTTATGAAATTACTGTTCTGCTCTTGATAGTATTTGTTGCAAGTTTGGAAGGCACTGGTATAAGAAGCTTGGTGAATTTCTGCAGTGGGTGATCTTATTAAAACGTACAAGGTTCTGAGAATGTTTGACCGAGTAGATGTTGAAAAGATTGTTACATTAATGGTGGTGGGTGGAGTGGGGAGCGGGGTTGGAACCTTAAACTGGTGGGCATGGTTACAGAACGAGGGGGTACATTTAAAATTGTGATGCAAAGGAATTTGTTCTGCCAGAGGTGGTGAATGTTTGGAATTCTCGACCCCAGAGAACTTTGGAGGCTAGATCACTGAAAGTATTTTAAAGGGGAGGTAGATAGAGATTTGAAATTTCAGGGAATTGAGGTATGATTAGTGTGCATGAGAGAGGAGTTGAGTCCCGGGCTAGAGCAGCCATGATCTTACTGAATGGCAGGGCAGGCTTGAAGGGCCAAATGGCTGTTTCTTATATTCTAATGTAGACTAATTCGTGAAGTGGGCAGATAAGTGTCCAGTGATTGAAGTGTGAAGTGATATATTTTGGTACGAAAACCATGAAGAGACAATATACAAAATAAACAACACAACTCTACAGGGGGCGAGAAGCAGAGGGACCTGGGTATAATTATAATTATTGAAGCTGGCAGGAAAAGTTGAGAGTGCTGCTAATAAAGCATAAAATATCCTGATCTTTATTAATGGAGATCTAGAGTTCAACATTACCATATTGCTCTTGTACTTTATATTAGACATGAATTCAATGTCAGCTAGAGTGTCATGCGCAGACATTGCTGAGAGTGCAGAATATATTTATGAGAATAGTTCTAGGGATGAGAAATTTCAGTTAAGATAGATTGGGAGAAACTGGAATTCTTCTCTGTGGAGGAAAAGGCTGAGATTTGATTGAAATATTCAGAATTGTGTAAGATTTCGTTAGAGCATATAGAGAATAAGTATTACCATTCCTGAAAGGATCAAGTGCAAGAGAGCATATCTTTATAGTGGTTAGTGAAAAAAGCTAAAGTGGAATGAGGGGAAAACAAATTTATGCAGCAAAGATAACACAGTGTGGAGCTGGAGGAAGACAGCAGGCCAGGCAGCATCAGAGGAGCAGGAAAGTTGACATTTCTGATGTTTTCTGAAGAAGGGTCCAGACTCGAAACATCAACTTTCCTGCTCCTCCGATGCTGCCTGGCCTGCTGTGTTTGTCCAGCTCCACACTGTGTGTTATCTCTGACTCTAGCATCTGCAGTTCTTACTATCTCCCATGCAGCATATGGTTAAGTTCTGGACTGCATTTCTTGAGAATGTGATGGAGATGGGCTCAATCATAAGATCATATGATCCTGCCCTTTCCCCATTACCCTTGACTCCCCTACTGATAAAGAGGCATTCCAAAGGGAATTATGACTAGTTGAACAGGATTACAGCGAGAAAGCAGGAGAATGAAACAGTGTGAGATGCTTGTTCACAGATAATTATCAAATGGCCTATTGCACAGCAGCTATTCTGTGAAATCAACTCAGTTTTAAATGCCCGAAAAGCTCATAATAAAATTATGTAGAAACACTTATTACTTGCTTTGTTTCACAGTAGTCAATTGCTTAATCAATCCTTTTCCGAATTTAATTGCTTTTAAAGGGTGCATATTTTAGGGAAAAAGTATCTGAATTGTAAGAATCTCCTGCAAGACCTGTGCATTTTAAAAAAGAAACTCATGGTGATTAGTTTGATCCATCTCATAGTGTTCAGTCATAGTTTCTTTTGATTTCAAAGTAGTGGGTGACACCTAGACTTTTATCTACTAATTATAACCTGCAGATTGAGCGACCACTTCAAAAGTTTATTATCTTTGCTGTTACGTATTTCCGATAATCCAGGCACCACAACGAGGACAACCCTTGAATCGTGTTGCCTGATAAATTCTGAGAAGGGAATTAAATATCAAGGGTAATTAATTTAGAGCAATATCAATCTTTACTGTGATTATACTCCAATATTTTACATATTACAGGAATAGTTTGTGAAGTAGTGTAAAATGCACAAATTTAGTATATTTAATTAAGGGAGGATAATAGTACCAAAATGTACTGATGAACTCTCTGCGTCTTGAATACCTTGATATCCGTGTCTAATCTGCTTTATCTTCTCATTCCCTTAGATTGCTTGGGCTTTAAATAAAGGTGTAAAACCTGAATATAAGCAGTTTTGGGACGTGGATCTTGGAGTTACATATATTCCGTGGGAAAAATTGAAATTAGATGATTTGGAAGGCTTTTCAGAGGGAGGCATGATCGACCAGGAAACCGTTAATACTGGTATGGTTTCATTATTGACTCTTAGTGGATTATCAGATGTCTCTGATACATGTGATATTTTTCCAATTTTTTTTAATCTCGGGCATTGTCTTTTCCTTGGGTTTTCAATTTTATCTTGAGTCTCAAATATAATCACTGTTGATGGTGCCCTTTTCTAATTTGTCAAGCCTGTTTGCTTATATATATTGAGTTTATATATTGCTTCCAAGACCAGCTGTAGCTCCAATATAGGTAACAGTTCTGTGCCACCCAGTAAAACACCAGCCTCCCAACTTTAGTTTTTTGGCCCTGACCTCTTGCAGAATCTGACTGGCTGCTTTTGGCTGGATCACGTTTGCTACCTGCAGTTTACAAAGTGAAAGTCAATTTGTTTCCTTGACCAGTACATCATCCTGTTTGTGTGATATGTGCACGCACGTATCCACCTTTATATTTAAGACCTCATTCAAACTATCTATCCAAAGGTTAGAACTAGATTTTTACCTAATATACTTATAACTTGACATATGACAACATATGAACTTTAGGAGAGGTAGGGAGAATTCTCCTCTGTTAAATTTGTTTCAAAAATAAAATGGCACTGAAAATTGCTTGTGTGCACAGCTCGACATGTTATTACGAAAACATCCCAGGTCTTCAGTGGCTGAATTGTCAGAAATGGATTGCTAACACAGTCAAATAGAGCTAACAAGTTTATGTTCATAAGGTGTGTTGATCCAGTTAAGGAGACCATGAGACTTTCACCGTTGTGCACAATAGAGACACACCAGAGTAGGCTATTTGGCCCTTCGCACTTGCTCTGCCATTCAATAAGATAATGGCTCTATTCCACTTTCTTGCACTATCCGTGTATCTCTCAAACCCCTTAATACTCAAAAGCTGTTCTGTCTTGAACGTATTCAGAAACCGAGTACCCAGTGTTCTGAGGTAAAGAATTCAGGATGCTCAACCTTGAAGAAAAGACATTTCTTTTCATCTCTGCTTTAAATAGCCAACTACATTCTGTCTTCCAGACGATTCAACTAAGGGAATGCATCTTTCTCAGCATCTACCCCATTGATCCCTTAAGAATTTTTTGTATGTTTGATTTAGAATCTCGCTAAGCCTGGTCTACTGTCTCTCATGTCATTCCCCTCATTCCAAGAACTTGTCGAATGAACCTGTGTTGCATACCCTCTAGGGATGTATGTTCTCCTTTAGGTATGGAGACCAACTCTACTTGCTGCCCCAGGTTGGGACTCCCCAATGCCCTTGTATAATTTTGTTAAGGGATTTTTATTCTAATTGTTTTCATATAGCAAAAGTTAACTCACCTATTAGAAACATAAATGCTTGTGGTCCCTGTATTATTTTCTGTGAGTCGTTTACAATTGTCTCTTTGAATGCAAACATTTTCCAGTGTCATCACCATTGAAATAAAATCCTTTTTTAGTATTTCCACTAAAGTGGATTCCTTCATACATATCACATTCTATTCCGTCTGACATGTTTTTGCTAGCTCATCAAACCTGTCTGTATCCCTCTGGAGTTTATTTGTACCTTCCTTACTGCTTCATTTCCGACTTAATTCTGTATCATCAGCAAACTTGGATGTTATACTCAATGCCGTCCACTAATTCATTAACGCAGATTGTAAACGGCTATGGCCCAAGTCCAGATCTGTGCAGTTCACAAGTGATAGCTTGTCAACTCAAAGTTTCCGAATACACATGTAAGCATTAACCAATCCTCAATCGTTATCTTTGAGTTACCACCAATTTCATGACTCCTCATTTTGCACAATGATCTCATTTGTCTTTCATCAAATACTTTCTGAAAGTCCAAGTGCACTGTATTCATTGGCACCCCGTTATCAATTCAGTTATGTTCTCAAAACCTTCTAGATTTGTTAAACACAACTTCCCTTTCATAAATCCATGATGACCCTGCTTGCTGATTTTCAAAGTGTGTTGATAGCACATTCCTAACAACTAATTGTCTGTTGACTAACAAACTTGAATATTGCTTTGATAACCCTCGAATTTATTTGTGAAAATCTGTAGTCTTTATTCATTAAATTCCATATGGAGCTTGCTCATGTCAATATTTTCTGTTTTTAAGACTGTAAACAATAAGTAGCAACAAAAAGTCAAAACAACAGAAAAGGTAGAAGTTAAGAGGAATGTAAATTGTGTATCAAAACTTACCCAATAAATTGTAGTAAGATGTTCCAGAACCAATTTTTAATAGTAACATTCTAACACTAAATTTCAGAGTGGGAGTCTAGGAACACCGAGCCTGTAAAAGAGAATGTGATCCAACCTGTAACTACTGAAAGCACTCAACCAACGTCACAAGGAGAGACATTCACGCAAGCTGTCACTATGCTACCTGTTCAGGTAACAGCATTATTTAATAGTTAGCAAATGTACTTTTTGTTTTATTGTTTTTTGTAAAATCTGCTGTTTTAGTTGTATAAGCTGTTTTGGTAACTCAAGCAAATATAGAATGTCAGTTTATTTCAAGAACAAGAAAAGCCTTGTTACTTCACTAAATTTGCAAACTAAGTTCTACTTGTTATTCTGTTAATGAAGGTGTATGTAAAGAGATTGCCTTGATTGTAACGTGTAACTATTAATTTTTTTTACATAAAAGTTATCTTGGAATTGACATTGGTTATTACCTATTTTACCTCATGGAAATCTGCCACTTCAGGTTTCCTCTTGTACTTTAGAGAAGCAAATTGCTGAAATTGGTACTGCAAACCTCATGGAGTGAGTAAAATTATTACAGGTTAAGTATGTACAGCATCTGTGTCATGTTTCTCATCCTAGATATTCCTACAATGGATTTCAACGTTTCAAAATAATTGATCTTTGGCTTTGTTTGAGCATCTGCTCCAAGGCATTTGTGTAATTTATTATAAGAAAAAAAAAATTGTTTTCACAGCCTTGGCAATCTGATGTACTTTGCAACTGTTGTCACTGTTGTAAAGCAGAACAAACAGCAACTTATTCTATAGTGACCTAACAACATTGGTATATCCTTTGTAGTAAAGCTTATTTTTGCCACAATAAAGTAGATCATACATTATGATGATTGTACATTAAAACTACCAGTGGTGAAAGCTCTTTAAGGCAATTAGTGAAAAATAAGTTCCAGTGATTCTTAAATCGGTGAATTTCGGATAATTTTTAGATTAGTCGCGCATGTATTAGGAACAGAATTTTAGAACTTCTAATCTTTATGCAATTAATTATTATTTGTTTTCAGATCCCAGTGACTCCAACTGTTTCAGCGATTAGCATGGTGCAACCACCAGCCTTTCCTGTATCAATGTCCATACCTCCTCCAGGCTTCAACCCAGCCATTCCACCACCTCCATTTTTACGGCACAGTTTTAATCCTTCGCAACCACCACCCGGTATGGAACAATCAGTTTTTGGCTGTTCTGTGTGCAGTGTTCTAAATGCTAAATTTGTACAAATTAAGTTACAGTCTGCTTGGATTTGTTTTCTCCATCATTGTGCATTGGCTATTCACAATGTTAAGATAGCTAAACAATGTAGTGCTGTAGCAGCATGTTTTGAGATTGACAGTTCAACATTTGCTGAATTTTAGAAGTTAGCCACCTCCCTATGTTGCTGCTACTTTACGTTGAAAGTCCAGTTTCCCATGCCACTCGATTATCAAATTTTAATAATGTCTTAATAACCCTGCAATTTATTTGTAAAAATCTTCGGGGCAACTTCAGTAAATTCCTTTTTTCACTGATTAATTCCGTAAAATGCTTGCTGCTGTTAAGTTTGATAAAAGCCTGATAATGCATGCAAGACAAAGGTTTTCCCACACCATTTAATGTGTGATCTTTGAGAGAATTCTGCTAATTTTGACTCACAGTTGGCATCTTTAATAATAGGTTATGCTGTAATTCCCTCTCAACATACTGGCAATATGACATTTGATTGTGAATGTACCTTATGTAGTTTTCTGTATTGTAATGAATTATACAAATACATTGATCCATTTATACTAATTGGTCACCATGCAGAAGATTATGATTATATGCATCACACTAAATAATATTAGTTGTCAAGCTGGTGAAAGTAAATACCCTACAAATGCTGGAAATTTGAAGGAAAACCAGAATAAGCTGAAATGCACAGCTGATCACTTAGCACCTAGATAAAAAGAGAAGACAGGTTAGAGACATTTTGGCTTCATAGTCTTCTGTCAAAATGAAAAACTAAATAGAAGGGCGTGTGAAAAAGAACATCTGTCAGTTACAGGAGGCAGAAATAAAGTATGATGACCTGAAATTTACCTAATGGAAAATTATTTGCTGGCATAAAAGATTATTAGTAAAGTGAAAATATTGAATACGACAACAGGAGAGTGTAAAAATGATAAATGGAAAGACACGGGTGAGCCCCAAGCAAAGACATGGACATAGGGAAGAATAGAGACAATGTCTGGAGTCTGTGTATGTGTGATGAGCTGTAAAAGTAGAAAGTAGTATGTGATTGAAAGTAGTAGGAGCACAGTGGATCTGTCAGCTCTGAGGAAAGGAAAATGCAACAACATTTGAGCTTCAGCATTGGTGGCATTTAAGCATATGGTGTTTACCTTTTTGTGTAGGGATCAAGGGATTATGCTTCATAAGTCATAATTAGTAAGGAATCACAATTGTTTTACTGTACAGGAGGTGGCCATTATGTCTGCACTAGGTATCTAATGAGCATTGTGACTTAGAGCCATTCTTCGACCTTTTAACTGTACCCTTACACATTATTTCTATTCAACTACCCATCTATTTCCCTGTTAAATGCTTCAGTTGAACCCACCTCCACCACATTTCCAAGAAGTGCATTTCAGACCTGAACTATTTATTGTGTGAAAAGGTTTTTTTCCTCACACCAAACTTTCTCAGATTACAGGCGCTGACTGACCTGTGTATTTGCAGTGTTTCCTGTTCTTCATAGTTATCTATTGTGCTCCTTTCCCAATTTGTTGTGCAATAAAGTTTAGGTGTTTAGATTGCTAGTGGTAGAGATAGAGTTGAAGGTTCAGGAATTATAAATTGTTCACAGTTTTGTTTTAATATTTGTTGAGGCCATTGTGACAAAATATGTGGCTGCTGATTATTTAGGTTTATTGTAAGATTTAAATTGTAGCATGAGTTAAAGAGGAAATGTATCAGTTTAAATTGACCAAGAACCTGATCTTATGCTAAATAGTCATCATATTCATTCGTGTTCACTAAAAAATAGGATTATAAGCATGTTGTCAGTTTGGGCGGAATGTTAGTTTGACTGCCGGTTCTCATTACCTGACACACAGTATGTTGTGCCCTCTAAAACAGAAAATATCAATGCTGTTGGAGCTGGAAGCAAACCTCCCATACAGAGAGTGTTACTGTGCAAATAACTTCCAAATGGGGGAGGTTAAAAGACCAGTGCTAAAATATTAGTTTTGAGTCCAGAAATATTTTAGTATATCTTTAATAGATGCCAAGGTAAAAGAAAAGTATGATGGGAATAAGTAACTAGTTGCTGAATCGACCCCAAAATTATGTAGGGCACAGTAAATTGAAAGCAGAATAAATGTTAAGTAATTTGTACCTGCCTGTCTTGGCTTAATTTTTTGGAAGATGAATGCTGTTTAACGAAATACAAAATGGTTCAGTCATTTGCTGCATAAGCACAGATTGAATTATGTAGGATACAATATTAATTTTACCTAAATTATTATGTACACGACTTTAATTAAACTAATCTAACAAATCTTATTCTGATTTAGGCAAAGCAAAATAAATTATAGCTTGCAATACTGAAGGACTGTTTTTAATCCCACGTACAGGTTACCTACCGCCACCACCACCAGTTGTTCCACCTCCAGTTGTTGGTCCTTCTATTCCGCCAGTACAAACCTGTGAGTATTGATTATCTTTTATAAGGTTGCTTTATATATGTATCAATTTTTGATGCCTGTTATTGCACTAATTTTCAGAAGGTTAATTAAAGATAAACTTAAAAGACTTTGTTTTTGAATTCTGATGGATTATTATTTATTAAAAACAAGTGAATGCATCAGGGATGAGAAATCCTCATCATTAGGTGGAATTCTGACTTTTTTAATGAAGGGGTCAAGCCATTTAATTTTTTTTCTGTCTTACCTGTGCCTCCCTTCTGCCATTCCAGTCAATTACCCTGCGGCTAAAGCTGGGAATAGAGAGCTTTTGAAAATCTGGAAATCTTTGCCAGTACTGGGGTCAGGAGCAGACACAGAAGAGTAACCACTCGTCTCACTGGGAGGAGTGTGAACTGCTGCTGGCTGCTTGATTGGGATATGGGTTTTAGCAGCCAGCATTAGGAAGAACCAGCAGAAACTTAGTCTCGGCAGGCTTTGGGAAACAGTGGAACTCCAGATGGGAGGAGCAACCGGCACAGTTTAGCCAGTATAGGGAGCAGCAAGACTCCCAAATCTCCGTAGAGTTTAGCAGGCAGAGTGGGTGGGGTTGGCCAGATTGGGTGCTGAATGGATTGGGAAGAGAGGAATGAATGGGAGGAGTTTTTCGTAAGTGGGCCATATGTGGAAAGAGGAAGGGAGCTGTTTACAGTATGCCGGTGAGGATAAAGACTTCATTGAGCCTTCCATCACCAAGGAATTGGAGAACTTGGTTGAACCCTATGTGACTATATCAAGTAATACTTTTACAAATACTTAAAGAACTTTGATACTTAAACATGTATTATATGTTGATGTATAACATGCAGACATTAATTATATACTGAATGCTACTATGCTGCTATACTGTTCAGTTTTTGCAGGCATCTGAGCTTGTTAATTCTTGAATATCATCATTTTACTTGTTCTTACATGGGATGTGGACAGTGGCAAAGCTGGCATTTGTTGCCCATCAAGAATTTCCCTTGAAACAATGGTGGTGGAAGGGTCACGTTGGATAATAGCTTGTGAAGCACTGCCATACTCCTTTCCTTCACTTTGTATTTGCATAACAAGATCATGCTCTTATATTGTTATAAACTTGCATCCTTTATTACATGAACTAACTGCATTGAATGCTGAGGTCATTTTGATGATTTTATGCATAAACATTGGTCCATGAGTTTTCCAGTTATAGAGGTAAACCTAAGGAAGACTAATGTCCCTGATCTCCTGAAGTCTAACAATTCCACCTTTTAAAAGTGGCTTAGAAGCATTTGCATTCACTACAGATCATAAAAGGTGTTATAATTACATGATTCCTTTTCACAAATTTTCAGACCATTTTGTCTTCACCCACTCTCATCCCTGAATGCATACTCTCTGAACTGTGGATATGAAGTAGATTGTTCTCGATTTTGTTTGAAGATTATTCTCAAGCTTGTTGTCTAAAATTAATAATAGTGCAAAAAAAATTATTTTGCAGCTCTAGTTTGTCCGCCTCTTTCCAACACCCAAGACAGTACAAAGGATTCCCCGTTTGGGAACCTACTTTCACACATAGGCTCTGGGCACAGCAATCTCCCAACTCCTAGTATTCCACCAGGGAGTATGTTTAATCCAATTGGCACACAGCCTCTCTCTTCTGGTCCAGGTGGATCAAATGACTTAGGGGCACCACGCACAGGCAGCCAAACGTCAACATCTGAAACAGCATCTACTTCTGGGCCAGGTATGTAGTTCTGTTGAAATGTTTATTTACTATCTTAGTAATTTCAACAAATTTATCTCCGTTAATACAGTTAATATTTGCTGCAATCTTTTTCCTTTTCCATAACAACTCTCAGTTTAGTGAAAAGTACATGCTGTGATGGTGTATAGATATGCATAAAATTAAGTCTGACATTTGGATTGGAAAGAAATGAAAATGCAATTTTTATTTTTATTTTAATTTTGAAATGAGCAGTTTGTTTTCATTAGATGTAATGTTAGCTGTCTTTTTCCACCGTATTTACATGCATCTGGCTTATTCTTTAAGCAAGATGTTTTGTAATTGCAATATTATAATAGTATATAGAGGTTTAAGTATACACTTGGTTAAAATAATGAGACGTAAATGTTACGATTTTTATATTTTGGTATTTCAGGACATTGTCACCTTGTGGGTGATTAGCAACTGTGCCAGTGAGACATAGAGTTGAACTGCATTATCAGTGTAGTACATCCGAAGCTACACACTTATAGGACAATATAGTAGTCTATTGTAGTTGCTCCATTTCCTCTTAGGCTATTTAGAGAATTACGTGCACGTTTTAATACATAGGGTGCATGATCAGTTAGTAGACGATCAATAGATTTATATTTAATGACTCCTCGATAATATTTGATTCCCAATTCAGCGACCCTATCTCAACCACAGTCACAATTGATGCCAACTTCAATAAATAGATTTTATTGTGATTAAAAGATAGATGGAAAATGATGTGACTTGGTAGTGACATGCAGTTGTTTAGCAATGTGTTAGTTGACGGAATGAAGTGATTCCGGCATTTCTGTCAGCAAGTTAACCAATCTCAAGTGGTCCCCACCCTCCGCTCCCATCGAGAGTTTATATTTCCTAGAAATGGAAACAAATTTTGCGAAAGCAGGCAATATTCTATTGCATCATCAGTGTAGCTGCATAAGTTGATAATATAGTAGTCGTGAAGGATTTCTCTAATGAATATTTTGTTATTTTTGGGGACATTTTGCTACAATTGCGTAGGTTGTTGGTGAAACCACATCTGTAGTATAGTACCATGTACTGTTTCAGTCTCCTTACTTAAGAGTGACATTCAAATCTGTTTGAAAAAAGTTCACTCAACTCATTTCTGAGGTGAAAGGATTTTCTTATGAGTAAAGTTGGGCCTCTATCCATTGAAGTTTAGAAGAATGAGAGACAATCTTTTTTGAAATATAAAAGATCCTAAGGCGAATTGACATTTTGAATCCTGAGAGAACATTCCTCCTTGAGAGGGAAACTAGGACTAGGGGATTCTGTTTAATATGAAGGGATTTTCTGTTTAAGATGGATATGAGGACTTTTGTTTTCTGAGAGTTGTTAGTCTGTGGAATTTGTTTTGTCCAAAGAGCAGTGGAGGCTGGGTCATGGAGTACTTGAAGCTGAGTTGGATAAATTAGAATCTGAGAGATGTACAGCATGGAAACAGCCCCTTCGGTCCAACTTGTCCGTGCTGACCAGATATCCTAAATTAATCTAGTCCCATTTGCCAGCATTTGGCGCATATCCCTTCCTATTCATATACTTATCCAAATACCTTTTAAATATTGTAATTGTACAAGCCTCGATCACTTCCTCTGGCAGCTCATTCCATACACACACCACCCTCTGTGAAAAAGTTGCCCCTTAGGTCCCTTTTAAATCTTTCCCCTTTCATCTTAAATCTATGCTGTCTAGTCTTGGACTTCCCTACCTTGGGGAAAAGACCTTGACTATTCACCCTATCCATGCCCTTCATGATTTTTCTTGTGGGACAAGGATTTCAAGGTATATAGGGAATAGACAGAAAAGTGTGGTTGAGGTCACAATCAGGTCTGTCATGGTCTTATGAAATGGTGGAGTAGGAGCTCGAGCCAAATGGTCTACTCCTGCTCTTAATATGTATGTTCATATGTAGACGTGGACAGTAAAAAATATGGGCAGCCAGTTTAATACTACAATATACAAAACAAAGCATATTTGGATGCTGTAGTCACAAAAAATGATTGTGTACACCTGGCCAAAAGCATCATGTTTATTGTGAGTCCTTACTGTTGCAGGAGCTCAAAGTACAGTTTCAACTGGGCCAGTTCTGGGATTGCAACCATCAACACCTGCACCAGGACTACCCAATTTGCCACCTCCAAATATGGTTGGACCAAGGATACCTGGAGTGCTCCCACTGGACGTGCGTCCTGGAATGATGCCGCCATCACCCGGACAGCGGTTTCCATTGCTGATGCCACCTCAGCCAAACATGCCCCCTCAGCCGAATATACCCCCTCAGCCGAACATGCCCCCTTCATTATCAATTGACGGACCTCTTCACTCAGGGTCCAGAGCTCCCTTTCCACCAGTAAGTTCTTTCAGTAGGCTTGAAGGAGCATTTTCAAGAGCTGCAGTCCCCAGTTCTGACAGCAGTACTAATGCAAGCCAAGGTACAGCAGATGAAAGAAGATCTACTGGAAATGATCATTCTTTTCAGCGAGAAAGCATGCAACAAGAAGGTGATCGGGATTATCGCTTCCCACCAGTGGATAACAGCGACACTCATGGAAGACGGGATCAATTTGGATTTGGTCCTGACCAAAGATGGGGCTCAAGAGATTTTGATGAACGTGAGCGTCGTGCCGTGCCCTTTGGCGGCCCTAAAGGTTTTCATGATGATCATGAAAGATATGGTGGAAGAAATTTCAGGTTTGATGGAAGAAGTGGTCCAGTATGGAACCGGGGTTTTGACCAGGAAGTCCACAGGGATCTTGATGATCGCAGCAGGCCTTGGGAACGCCAGAGAGATCGTGATGACCGAGATTTTGGCTTTCGCCGAGATGTAAATGGAAACCGTTTTGGAAGAGACCGAGAGCAAGATCACTGGGTTCCTCCTCGGCATAGGTTTGACTATTTTCAAGGGACCACCGATCACCAAAAACCGGATGATAGGCCTCGGGTAAATGGTGATTTCTCAGAAACAAACAGCCAGACACCAAACAAGGAGCTTGCAAACAATGATTCTGAAGTTTCTGTGAACCTTGCATCTCCATCAGATGGAAGTGTGGAGAAGGATGACTTAGAAAATCAACCTGTAACTGAAAACACAGATACCGAGGGGACATAATTGTCATACAGTATGGCAATATTTTGTATAGGTGGTCATCTGCAGTGGACAAAATGGTTGACTGGAACTTGAGAAAAGTCACTGTTGTCTGCGAGACAATTTAATCCGATGTACATCCTTTCACTCTAATAACTGAAGTTAATGTGTACAACTGACCTGTACAGACTGTTGTTCTTTAGTTGAACACGGTAGGTAACGACATTTTTTTTTCATGCTTAGAGGCCAGAACTCCCACATTTCTTTTAATTTGAGGAAGATATAATAGCTTGCCAAAAAAAAATTTTAAATTGATCTTCCTATGGAAGATAGGTAAACTTGTAGCTGTTACAGCTGGGATGGAATAAAAGTGGTGATAGTAATACTTGAAAGGCATAATCTGAATTTTTCCATTCCCTGAAGCTGCTACAATATTTAAATTTAATGCTTTGACGAAAAGGAGTTACTGTTTCATGTTTTATCCTGTTGACAGCAATCGCCTAGCCCATTCACAGTGAGCAGTGCAGTACTGAGGTGTAGAAAACAAAATTGTAATACGTTTCTGTTTTGTAAAAAAAAGAAATTTTAAATTCTCTTATAGTCTGGTCTCTGTTAATCCCAGAATAAATGTTTGTGATTTGTCCCTCGTACTGCAGTGAGTAACGGCTGAAAAAGTCATTTGAATGTTGGGTGCATTCTGTTTTTAGATGCTAATAAAACGTTTGTTTGATAATGTTGTGATCTTCAGTTCATCTGTTTTTTTTTGCAAAGGAAAGGTGCCATCAAAAATGGTGGTTTGATTTGGCATCAGGAAAAACATAAGGAAAATACTTAAAGAAAATAATTAAGTAGCAATGGAGGAAAGGAGTCCAGAGCAACTAGGTATTGTCCCAGTTGAGATTTTTTTTTCTTTAGAATTGCCTTTTAACTCAACATCCCTCTTTTTCTATGAATCTTCCAGTAAAAGTATGGGTTGATGCAATTTTCCCTATATCACTCTAATTATCCAGCAAGATGGCCACATTGGGTATTCAAATTTTCCTTCCATTGAGATGAAATTTTTGCATCTGTAAAGCACTCCATCTGGTGGTCCAACTGATGCATAATTAGCTAGGATAAAACAGGCCTTTAAACTTGATCTTCACCCTTCTAGTGGGAGGAAAGTGCTGATCTGACCTGTGCAGCTATGATCTGTTTAAGTGAAAATCTCCATAATTATTTTGTCCTTAGGAACAAAAAGGAAGTGAATTGTTGGCTAGGACCAATGTTTATTTCAGTTGAATGAAAAAAACAGATTGTGTTCCGGATAGAGTAATAGTTTGCGAGAACAGGGGCACATTGAGTATAATGTGAAATAGGCTTGACTAAATTTCATGTGCTTTAGCCATCACAACGTTGAAACATGCTAGGGAGCATTGGCTAACACAATTCCCTAAAAGTTTGTTTGCTCTTGTTAAAAGAAATGCTTGTGACTTTTCCAGCTAGTTGATTGAAAGGCAAGATTGTACAGGGATTCTTGAAAATTAAATGGTCAACCATCAGTCTGTATTCATAACACTACTAATAGAGCCAGATTTTATACCAGTTTCAGTGTAAAATGTAATCTTCCTCCTGTATTATTGAGTTATTTATGCCTACAGAATTTTGGGAGCCAGAGCCTTCTGATTTAACTTACTGCTTTGAATCTTGGATCTATATGTACAGGTCAATGTTCTATCAATTAGTTCTATTTGTGTTTTCCACAGTTGTATTTTCCAATAAATAAGAGTGCTTGAGGTTTTAATTGTACAGCTGGTCACTGTTGACTGTTATTACAGTGATTTTTCAGTAAGTAAGCACTAATGTGTGAGTTTAAAGAGGTTTTTTTTTTGGTGGATCTGAACTTGTAGCTGATTTACCTAAATCTGTATTTCACAAAAATACTTTAGGAATTCATGTGCTCCAAGCAAAATTCTAACAGATTTGTAAACCTGTGGGATTCAGTGCTGTAGTTGAAACATTTTCAAATGTAATTTGAGAATTGTTAATAACATTTACTGTATTTTGCAAAAAGAAACTTGCAGGTTTGGGTTGTCACACATTAGGAGAAATTTGCTTTGAAGAAATATTGAAGAACGATGAGCTTGGGGTGGTGTTTTGAAATACCTTGAATGGAAGGTCATAACTTCAAATATCTGTGTGCCAGGGAGAAAGTAAGTTGTATTCTACCAGAAGTTGAGTGGAGACCAATGGTGCCACAGCCTTGGATCACAGCACCCATCCTTGAGACACCAGCACATACCCATAACTTACTGTCCTTAACAGAAAATGCCCAATTCCACAATTTAGTTAGTGCCTGAAAATTGCTAATGGATACGGTTAATTATTTACAGCATAATGATTTTTAAGTCTATATATACATCATGGATGTTAGAACCTATTGTAGATAAAAGTTCAGAAATAATTGTGGTACGAGATTTAAAAATCAAAAATTGTAATTGCTAAGAAACTGAAATTAAAGCAGAAAAGCAGGTTTATCAATATCTGAAGAAAAATGTATTTGATTTTACTATCATTTTGAGCATTTATAATTCTTTTTTTTAAAACTATATCTATGTTACCATCACACATTATCCTTTCCAGTATTTTATGGTTATGTTGTAGAGCCTCAAGGTTACCCAACTACACAACTTTTGTTGGAATTTGAATAACTATTTCGGATAAAAATGAAGGGAATAAAGGAATATTACCATAATTTGGAAAAGTGGAGTTAATACAGAATTCAGCCATGATCTTATCGGATCCAAAAAGCATACTTCAGCTATTAAATTCGTAGGACATTGTTTAAAAAAGACTAGTGTATTAAGCAGCATGTACCAGTAAGCAGTAACATTCACCAAAAATAATCATGTGCAGAATTGGATTGTGCACCCCGCTGTGCTGCAGCTACTTCTTACATACCAGCCATGACCAAAATATCCATTATTGTATAACATTACTCACAATTCAGACTTTAGACATTTTGATAAAATCTCTTTATTTTAACCCTCTTGTCTATAGACAAAACATTATCCAAAATTTCTGTATAAATTGATATGTGCTACAGAATTGGACGCCTTGGTTTTGGTGCTTCAGTGCCTTTTTGATAACAAAATGATGTCGTGCCACCTGCACATTTCTGTTGCAGCACATTCCACAAAGGAACTTGTTGAAGGTTGATTACATTAGGAGAGCACACTGGAAGTCAACACAGTAAGCAGATTGTTACATCTTTCATGTGTAACAAATTTGTTGTCAGTGTTCCATTTCAGTGTCATTGCTAAGCTAACACAGACAGCTGAACATGCTTACAGCAGCAAGATGAATCCCCCTTCCTCCAGTTCTATTTAAAGGGATCATTGTCAGCTTGCAGATTAATTCTGATTCTGTTCAAGTTTGTGGAAATTCATGGTGGTTAGAAGAGTTAGTGAAGTATTTATTAGGTAGCACTAAAGATAGAAAAGTCCTTAAATGTGCCTGGCCACTTGTTCTTAGTCAGAGGTGTTCTTGCTAAAATTCCTTTTGAATTAAAGCATGAGAAGGACATGGAACAGAGGCAGTAATGATGAGGGCAAGCTATTATACGAGGAAGGACTAAGGACTTCCAGCATGAAACAGTCACCTAAGGTGGGAAGTGTTTCTGTCATTTTTGCTTTACAAAATGAAGCTCTCAAAGAACTCTGCCACATATTCCCACTCGACCAGGAAATAATTTTGCTAATACTACATGTTCACATGACCATAGTCCTCCATTTCTTCTTGTTCGGCCTTTTAGATTAGAGCATGCAACATATGTGTCATCTCCTTGTTTGCTGTCCATTGCTACATCTGAGAGATGACAAATGCACTCTATACCAAGAAACTGAAGTTCATTCTGCACTCTCAACAAAGAGAAACAAGTAAAGTGTGCCTATGGCTTTCCTCCAGTGGTGCGCTTCCATTGGACTCCATGTCGTCAGCTGTAGGCACTATGCCTTGGCACTGCATCTCTATGCTGGGATGTAACTTGCCTACAAAAATTGTCAAGCACTGTATGTGCATTTAGTGTGTGACTTCACTCAGGTGTCATGTCTGTTGTCAATGCACCAATCATAATGCTTTAATTCTGTACCAACTTGCTTTTACCTCAATATTTCAAACACCACAACAAATCAAAGGGTACTTGCTGGTGACTAGGACTGTCTGCTTTAGACCTGGCCCATGACTCCATTCTGCAATCTAACCACATCATCAGCATGCGTGTAGTGTGAGCCATTGAGCAAAACATTGGAGTGTTGAAGCAACAGTTCCACTGCTTGAACTGTCTGAATAAGGAGTTATCATGAGGCCATAGCCCTTGCTATCAGCAACACAGCAAGCAATTTGAGGATATGGAACAGAAGAGTTAGCCAGTACATTGTTTTGCTGGCAAAACTGTTGGTGATAGCCACATACAACTGCAGTTATGTTGAGTACAAGCACAAACCCCTCCTATTCTACAAGACATCTTGCCATCCTGTTGACCACAGTGCTGATACAGAAGCTACTGCAAAACAACCATTCCAAATCAACTTTGGCCAACATACCAATCGATATTCCATGCAAAAGTCAACTAATTATCCTTATATCTTTATCTGATTATCCTTAGTACTTGTATTTTTGGTGTCCTCGCCAGGCTTAGTGCATCTTCAACAAAACATAAATTGCTGGATAAACTCAGCAGGTCTGGCAAAATCTGTAGAAAGAAAACAGTTAATGTTTCGCGTCCAGTAACCCTACTTCAGCAATTTATATTTTCATTTCGATCTTCATTTATGGTTCCTTGATTTATTTTAGTAAATCTTCACATTGCTACTCCAGTAAAGCAGCATGTCTGGTAGAACGCAATGACTTGCATAAATTAAGGTGATAGAAAGCTTTAACAGATTCCGTAGAGCAGTTGCACAACCTCATTGTGGTTGGCAGCTATCTGGGTTGGTTGACAGCCAGCAGAAAGAACGTTAGCAGTGGTGGGAACATAACTGCTGTTATCCTAGATGGAACAGTAGACCCACACCCCAGTTAGTCACTCCCATTTCTTTAAGATGGTGCCTTAACTAACCTAGTAAGGGGAAACAAAATGCAGGACTTCTCAAGACCCTGAAGCTAAAACTGTCCAAACAAGTTGACGTTTTGTGACCTCAGATAAAGCTTCCACGTCAGCATTGGCATTGGATGGCTCCTACTTGCACTACAGTGGAAGATGAGAGAATGGCAGTTGAATGCTGCACATGGTAGAGTCGACAAGTGTTTTGCCACTATTTTTACACTGAAAAAGATATGCTGTAACACATGTGTGAATGGAGACAGATTCCCCCTTGTTTTCTGACAGTGGCAACACTTTTTCTGGCAAACCTACGACTGGATCAGTAAAGATGTACATCAGCCCTTCGCTGCTCCTTCTGAGTTCTCTGCAGCAGGACTTATGTAACCTCTCCATCCAGGAAATTAACATCCACACTATGCTTTTTCCCCAAAACCTGGCTGTACCCACTCATACGTGATCACTCACCACTGTGCAGATCTGGCTTGTATGCTGCACATTGCCAAAATCTCAGCTGGTGGTTGAAGATGTGGAGTTGTGATTTTTCTTCTGTACCTTGGAATTCTGGTTTGACACCAGAATGACATCTAGTACTTACTTGGGTATCTGAAAAGATATAAGTACCAGGGTAAAGCTTGCATGAGCTAAGGTGG